GGATAAACAGTTTCTTAGGAGTGAACCTCAGGTTTGTTCTTGATATGTTTTGCACGATGGGCGTAGTCTAGCGTACTAAGTGTCTCTTCCAAACAATTAACAGAAGGAGAAATTGTAGCAATGACACAAGTTTTTGTCTTCCCTCCCAAAGAATCTCTCAACAGCCTAGTAAGTTTACTATCCCTGCCATAGAATTTTCCATGACAGAAGAGCCACAATATTATTAGCAGTTATAAGAAGAAAAAAAAAACAAAAGAAAATCTACGGATGAAGAAATAAAGCTTGTAATATTAATAGATTTTAGGAGATACCTGTAAGGTATATGAGCAGAATGTTCAACCAAAGCATTTATAACACGTCCCAAGGTAAGTAAGCTCTTGTTAATCTCTCCTGCTTCTCTTGCTCGAGCCTGAAAGTTAAAAGCAGTATATTGATTCAAATCTGACCAACAAAAATATCTGCTGAACTAAAAGGTTATTGGCTTCATGTTCATTCATAGCTGAATAGGGACAAGGTTAGAATATGATGAAGACAATTGACCGTCTATCAATTTCAGTTCTGTCTTGTTTGCCATGGTGAAGATTTTTTATGCATACACAAGTTTTTTTTACCTCTCGTGCACCTGAGCGAGATATATTCTCTGATCCTGCTAAATCAACAAGATTAAGCTTTCCACATTTGATCAGTTCTTCATCACCAACGGATGATTCTTTAATGTGGAGAGTAATAGAAAAGACAGAATGAGAGCGGCTGCAATAATAGACCATATTGAACAAAACATGTTAGGATTCCAATTTTTTCAGTTATCCAAATCTTTTCATCAACATGCTAATGTAAAAATATACCTGCTCCGCTTGTTTAACAAGGTGTCTGCTGTACGCCTTTTGGCAGATCCTCGTTCCAAAAGGGTATATATCTCATTTAAACTGTAGACTGCTTCTTCTTCGAGGCCCCTGACGACCACTGCTCCCTTTCCATCCTCCAACAAGGAAATAGGTTTCTTTTGCTTTTCTTCTACAGATCGTGATTGATCTTCCTGAGCTAACAAATCGGTAATTTCTTCATTGTAAAGCTCCAAGAATGTCACCTTCATGCTATAGTCTGCATTTTGCTCTTCAAGTGTATCGAAAATTTGACGAACAGCCCGTGGAATAACACCAGCCTCAGCAGGCAGATCCTTACCCTATATGTTTGACATGGTAAATATATGTCAAAAACAGATAATAAATGAACGTAAGGAAATTTAATATAAGGTTCTTGTTTTGACTATCCATACCTTATTTTTCATCCCACCTTCCATTGTATATGTTTTACCGGTGCCCGTTTGCCCATAAGCAAAGACGGTGCAGTTGAAGCCTTCAAGGACTTCATTAACAATAGGGGCAATAGCTTGTTCATAAATTGATCTTTGCTGTGCTTTCGGACCGAACACCTGACAACCATTCATAGTCAGCTAAAATAACCAAATCAAATTAACCATTATCACAAAGTTAACCAAGTTAACGTATCAGAAACTTACCTTGTCAAAGGAGAAGATTCTATCTACTTGCTTATTGGCTACGCTTTGCAAGACACTGACTTCCCTTCTTACTTCATTACATGATATCACTTGTGGAATGTTCGACCGCTGTTCATCGTCATTTAATGGCCTACCATTGGAATACAATACATTAGGTCCCCTTCAGAGAAATGTACATTCTCAACACTTACAAAGAATTCATCATCACCACTTCATTTCTAAATATTAGATCACGAGATTAAAAAAAAACATGGTCATACAAGCAGAAAATCAGGAAACAAGTCGCCAGTACTTCTGAAAAATCCACCGAGAAATATGATAATTAAATCAAAGTTTCATGTTATAAGAGCTTTCAAGTGAAGAAAAGGAAGCAGAAGACAGTTGCAAGAACAGCAGCAGGTTATTTGAGGTCGGCACAAGCAATTCACCAAGAGTACGAAGGTACACACATAACAAAGAACAATAGAGCAAAGCCAAGTAAGAGCTGGTCCAGAAACCCTGTTAGTTGTATATACTTCTCAAAATCATTTCAAACGGAAAACTAAATCCAATAGATTCTTCTTTAACCTAATGAATCAAGTGGAATGAGAATCTGCAAAGAATCAGGCAGTGGATCTACTTCTAACACTCGAACAAACTCACCTGCATCTCAGCACAACCTGGATATTAACTTCTTTATCCCTATTCTGATGATGATTAGAACTCGAATCAGAGCCTCTAGAATCAGTTCGCCGCCGTTCGGGACGAGGAGTCAGAAATGGAGCTGGAGATGGCGTAACTCCAACTCCGGATTTCTTAGACTGATCAGGCGTCAATGGCACCATTTTCTTTCTCGATTTCAAAAATTAGCAGAAAATCACCACCAACCTACAGTGAACAAAACAGGATCGAAACAACTCCTTTAGAACAAGAGATTCCAATTCACCGTATTCTCCTCGCTCATAAATTCATATACAATAACAGAAATCGGAGAAAAGAAGAGGAAAACCTCAATCGAAGATGCAATGGAGAGAGTTGTTCCCGCGTTCGATTCGAAGATCGCTTGAATTGGAGAGCAGCGCTATGGAGAAGAAAGGGGGGGGGGAAAGGTTTCTTGTCTGTGATCCCTCGGATACTATCCACTACATTTTTACATATAGGAGAAAGTAGCCGTTAGATTCGTAAATTTGAATTCAATGAACGCTGGCGGGGCCCACTCCAGAAAGAAATTCAAATTTCTGGGGCACCACTAGAGCCTGCAATTGCAATTCGTTGGATTTATCTCCAAAAAGCTTTTTTTTTTTTTTCCTTTTTTTTTTTTTATCCTTAAGAAAAGGGAGTAAAAAAGGGCTGCTTTTTTGGGATAATTAATTAAATATTACAAGCATTTAATTTCTGAAATTTATAAATTAAATTTTTTCCTTTTTAATTAAATAAAAAAAATATATATTTTTTAATCTAATCGATTTTAAAATATATATTTTTAAAGAAACTCTTGAAATTTAATTTTTGAAAAAGTAATTGTCCAGATTCTTTTTAGGACAATAAAAGTGGTGTCTAGCTTCAAGGCATGGATTAAATGTATTAACTGCTCAACTATGTTCGTGTTTTGTTATTAAATAAATTATAGTAATATAACATATTTAGAATCACTTTTAAATGTGATACAATCAAACCAACCCAACCGTATAAATATTTTATTTAAAACAACTTTTATTAAAAATGTTTTAAGAAAAATATTTTTTTTTATATAGAAAATGTTTTGGACTAAAAGTACACAAAACTCATTTATAATTTGTTTATATTATATGAGCATCGTTACCCGACAATATGGAGTATTAATCAAACTGAGAAACCGGTATTCATAATGTTAAAAGTTTATATACAATTTGGTCGATGTGAACATCTCAACTTTTAAGGTACCTCATATTCAAATCTTCATCCTCACATTTATTATACTGAAAAAAATAGTTTAGATAGTTTAGATTTGGCAAGTCTTCGGAAATCAAGATAAATATAATATATAGTTAATATTAAATTAATAAAAATGTTAAATTTCAAATTTGATCCCTTTAGATCCGAGTTTAAAAAGCTAGAATTCATCCTATAATTCCCATGGTAAAATGAGAGTTTTACGAGAGTTTTATCGAACCATAAGAATGATATTCTAATTTTTAAAATTATAGAGCCCAAATTATAACTATAAATTCTAAAAATATATTCCTATGGTGTATTCTTTCAAGAGAAAATTGTTGTTATTATTTAATTAATTTTAATTTTAATTTAAAAAAATTAATTTCAAAAGAATAAATTTAAGAAATATGGAAGATTAATAGACTCAATTTGAACACCTAAATAGAATAAAATCAAAGATACATTTAACATTAATAAAAGTAATTCAATTGGAAGAATGGGGTAATTTTGGAATAATATAATTGGTTTTAAAGAAAATGCATTTGAAAAATACACTACAAAAAGAAAGTATTTTATTGCATAATGTGTGGCCAATTACAGTAGGGGTAGGTAATTTTGCCACGTCTGACAAGGAATTTGATAGCTCCTTTTTCAAATTGAACACACTTTAGCGAATCTCAAAATAAGCAACTATTTTTTAATGCTCATCACTTCCCAGAAGTTTTATCGAGATCGTCAACTAATTTGAATTAGGAGGTCAAAATGAAATGGGCATTTTGACAGAGGAAGAATCATGTACTTGAGGATCTTTTTGGCATCCATTCTTATGTGAGCATGTGTCCATCTAGATAAGGTTGTTGTAAAAATCTATACAATCATTTGCAACCAACTAAGATCAAATAGCAAGCTAGAAACTTGTTCGCCAACACGAGCATAGCACACTAGTAGTTGGCACATGTTCCTTACCACGAAGTTGAAAGTTCAAATTTGGATACTCCACATATGTGGTAAGAGACCGTACTTTGATAAGGAAAGGAATATAAGGTCATTAAAAAACAGCCCAACCGAAATCAGAAAACAAAAGGGAGCACAAGAACTAACTATCGAAAGGGACTCGAGAAGGGGTAACACTTCAATATTAACCCTTGTCCCCACCTATACCTCCTCCAACGGTCTATCCACCTCCCTATAAATCAATACTATTAATTCTCTCAAGCAAGCATGACCACACTGGATAATGTTCACAATAGAGGAGCGTGAGATCCCACATCGATTGGAGAAGGGAATATCAATATTCTGTATAAATGTGTGGAAACATCTCCCTAATAGACGCGTTTTAAAACCTAAGGCTGACGACGATACGTAACGAGCTAAAACAGATAATATTTGCTAGCGGAGTTTGGACTGTAAACTCTCCCTAATAGACACGTTCTAAAACTGTGAGGCTGACGACAATACGTAACGGACAAAAACGGACAATATTTACCAGCGGTGGGCTTAGGAGTGTTTAGTGGGAAACTCAACACTAACCAGATTCAACAAAAGAAATCAAAGCAAAATAAGTCTACTCTGCATGTTCGAAATTATATATCAGTACAAAAGCAAAGACAACTTTTATTCTCAAGAAACAGAAGACAATTATAATTCAATCAGGACAATGTGCATAACAGAATCATGAAAGAACAAACAGAAGAAGCATTTCATAAGTTGCCACGTACTTATCGAGGGGGCTAAAGGAGCTGTGTGCCGGCTGAGAGACCAAAAATTGACAGTTGCTTTTGTCCTGATTCTATGGGATGATTTTACTGTAGGGGAACCGATCCATAGAACACTACTTCGGCTGGTCCAGTCATGTATACGTGGTTGTCTTGTTCACTCCACTCTATCTGTAATGGTCCTCCAGGCAGATCAACGGTGCAATTCTGTCTCGACACATTTGAATCAAAAGTTAGGAAATTTAAAGGAAAGGATTGAAATTCGCATGATTTTTTTTTTTTGTCTGATGAAACCATGTTATATTGTTTCCGTTGTGTTTACAAGATACAATTGATCTTCTTACCCGCCCAGCACGACCTTCAAGAACTGCTGCAACAACAACCGCACAGGCTCCGGTTCCACAAGCAAGCGTCGCGCCTGTAGTGACATTGAGAAGGCAGGTTTGTTATGAAGCGTTTCAATAATTATATGCTTACAACTTTAAATTATATCAAATTTGTACCTGCACCACGCTCCCAAACACGCATTTTAAGGTGTGAATTGGAGAAGACTTGCACAAATTCTGTCATGGACATCAAGAAAAAACACATTTGCTCAAAGATATATCTCAACCAGAAAAGGCTGGAACTCCCAACTCGCTAAGAAACCAACCTGTATTTGTTCGTGCTGGAAACATCTCATGATGTTCAAATTTTGGACCAATTGCAGCTAAATTGATGTCATCAACCTGCAGATTCTGTTCATGACCATGCTAAAATCAGCACAAGTAGTAAATAAACGGTAAAGTTGTACCCCAACAGAATGATTAGAGACAGTCATATGTACCTCAAGACTCTATGAAGTTGCATTACAGGGTTTAAACTGCCGTAAGCTATTTTAGATCAAAGGAGGGAAGGAATGATTTCAATGTCAAAGGAGCTTAGACATCATTAGTATTGCTTCCTAATATAATTGTACTCCATGGTTCATGAATGCTCTAATAGATAACATAACAACGTTGAACACATCTCAATCAATCAACTAAATTATGATAAATACAATTTGTGAAATCTTATGGACCGGAGCCAATCAAAGTATTCAGAAATTCTTGTACTTAATATTAAATCGTCACTTATTGTCTCTAATCTACTACATCACGTCTCTAATCTACTACATCACGTACACAATATATATAACTTGATAAGTGATTATATTTAAGTAAAAGAAGAGAAAACAAAAGGGCAAGCCAAAGTAATCCACTTTAGGAACTCTAAGAAGATTTAGAACAGTGAATGAGATGTTACAAAATGTACTTCTAAATAAATACCTGCTCAATTTTGTTGCCAAAAGTTACACAATGGGGGTTTCCCATACTGACACAGGTCACGCTCCATGCAACTCCATCTACTTCTATGTCTGCCTTAACAACAGATTGGTCCGTATTTGGTGTCAATCGGGTAGGCACATCTGATGCTTTGAGAATTGGTTCGCCCATGTCTACTTTTACCTGAAATTGCATGTACGTTAAGATGGGAACCGCCCCCCCCCCCCCCCCCCCCCCCCCCC